CCCATTGGGTTCAGTACTTGAACTGATATGAGTAGCAACACACACATTTATGTCTTCTACAATGCTGCATGTTACATCACTATCACTGTCTATGCTTTCTTCAACTTTTGAAACTGAGGCATTAGTGTCTGCATTCTCATGCTTTAAATGTGTAGATGTTTGATCATGGCTTTCATTGACTTGAGAATCTTCTACAAAATTTGTAACATTCACTACAATATTATCAAGGTCATGCTCAAAATTCACTGAACATCTCGGATGGCAAGAATTAAAAATTTCTTCTTCAGTTGTTGATTTACCCACATCTTCCAAGAAGCTAAGGATTATATCTGCATCATGAACACTGTCTTCAGTTTTTGTAACATTTGTTTTCCTGACCAGTTTTTCATGTTTTGATGATACATGTAAGTGATCCAAATTTTCATTACTTTCAGGATCTTCCAGAAGAGCAGGGGTATTTCTCATTCCATTTTCAAACGTAGAATTAATTTCTTTTGTTTCATGATTTAACAGGGCTGGCTCTAAGCTGTTATTTGAGGTACTGGTAAGCCTGTGGTTCACTGGTTTATCTTCATCAGTCAAGTTGTCTGTTCCAGATTTAAAGCTGATGTCATCAAAGAAATTAGCCTTCACTTCATGTTCTAGGAAGGCAGCAGAAAGATGTTTGTCCCACGAGTCAATGCAGTAATCTACAAGTAATGGTTTTTGTTTATCACCTGAAACAGGTTTTTCCACTTTTTCATCTGTAAAAGTGTTGTTCCCTAAATGTAATGATATGTCTTCACAGTTCAATGACGTGTTCTCACCAGATGTTGTTTTCAGTCCCTTAAAATAATCTAATGTGTAGTCTTCACATGGCCCAAGAACTACTGACGGAATAAAATCTGAAACTGTAGTCTGCACCATACTTCCTTGTTTGTTATCCTTTAAACTAAAGGCAGGTACTGTATTTTTGCTTGAAGCTAGAGGTATGTCAGCAGTATTAAGGGAATTAAATATCATTTGCGGCTCACAAGGAGAATTCAGTACTTGCAGGCTTTGCTTGGTAAAGCTGACATTCTCCTGCACATCAGAAATGTTCACAGGGGAAAAATGGAATGAATCTGACAGTGTGTCGGAAGTTGACACATGGTCACAGTCAATGTATGAACTATCTACACGTTGGAAACTGGTTTCAGAATTCAATGTCTTGCTTGGAGAGAATGTTGAAACCACATCAGACACGACTGGAAATGTGTCAATAGCATCTGAAAAATCACATATGTCAGGATGCAAAGAATCAGTAACTCTTACTTTCCTATGAGGATGATGAGGTGCACTTGTGAACAGAGGAGATGAATTTGATTCTTTATATTCACCTTTGAAATATTCATCTTCAGTTCTCACACCTGTGCTTGTATCAAAACTGTCCTCAAAATCATCACACGTAGCAAATAAACTAATGCTAGAAACATTGTGTGGCTCACAGCTAAACAAATTTTGGTAGGTCACATTCTGATGTGGCAATGCTTCAGTTTTCAACATAAATATATTATTTAATGTGGATTCTATCACATGTTTTTGAGGCACATTGTCATTAATACTTTTTGAAGTTTCTTCATGAGGAATAGCACCTAACTTTGCAGCACAACCAGTGTCTGCTCCCAACATGTCATTTGCTTCACTAATTACTACATCACGTTTCTTGTCCTGGCAACTAGATGCCAACATTGAATTAAACATATAATCTTCCTCAGGCACTTGACTGTAACTTGACACACAGTTTTCAACATTAACATCAATCTTGCTCTCTACTTTGTCATACACAACTGCTGTATTAGCTATCACATCACTATGCAATACAGGACCAGCTATGCTGGGACACAATAATGCTACTTCATTCACTGAGGTTTCCCCATTAATTGCTATTATCTCAGTCACACAATCCTGTTTATTAGTTTCTTCCGAGGCATCAATGACTAAAAAATTCCTGCTACTGTTATGATTAGAAGACTGCACATCTGAGGTCTTTGCTTCATCAAACCTCTGTAGTGAAGAATTTGGATCAGACCCAGACTTTGACGTTCTGATATACTGCCTCTGTTTCTTTAGCGTGGCTTTGAATTCCTCATCCAGAACAGCTCCGTGGACATTACTCTCACTGCTAAATGTAGTAGGAACATTTTTACCCAATGAACCTGGCCTCACTCTAGTACTGAAGGATCCTCGGCCGTCAGAACTCCGCTCAAAACACCAGGTTAGAGATGGAGGTTCTGAATCACTGCCATCACTGCACTCAATGTGGGTTAAAACCATCAGATCTGCAACTGATTTAGACTTCTCCTTCACCTTTTCAGAGAACTCTCCTTGTTCAATCCGTCTCCTCCATATCTCATCTTCAGTGTCAGTCCCAGAATCTGTTGCCCTATATTCCAAATATGTTGACTTAACATTATCCAACAAACTGTCATCTTGAAGACTGTCTGGTTGAAACATCATCTCCTTATCATCTGATGACACACCAGAATCTGCACGACCAAGTCTAAAGTCCAGAACCACATTCTGTTCAGCAGTTGCGCCTCTCGCAGGACTCTGATGGGAATCACATTTACTAGAAGCTTCGGATGAAGATGACGACGTCTTTTCCAGTGCTAAAGCATTATCCAGATCTCGAATTGCCTCAGATATTTTGCGAACAAACTTTGCATCTTCTTCATTGGTTGTTTCCACACCTTTCAACCAAGAATCAAAGTCTGGTTCCAGTGAAACAATTTCTTTCACCTCCTTTTCTCTGCCCTCCTCATTCAATACTTCCCCTGCATTCTCTTTTCTCTCCATACTATCTGAAACACGATCCAGTTCATCCTCTTTCTGCCAATCTGTAGCATCTGTGACCTCAACGGTGCATTCACTGAGATCATCTATGGACCCACGTAGGTTTTGGAGACTTGGTGACTTATGACTTTGCTGAAGAGTTGGTATAAAGAACTCACCTCCAAAACTGCTTGCTAATGATGGTTGGGGTGATGTTGTGAGAGGAGTCATGCTGATTCCATCCATGACCAGGTTTCCTGAGTCTCGTGATGTAATATCACTTTCAAATTCAGCTGGGGGTAATACTAACGCTTTGCTCTGGAGTGTGTGGCCTTCTTCCAGTTGTGCAACTGTGTCATCATCTGGAAGGATTCTGGTACTTGTTTCCCCTGGAGACTGAGTTGGAGACTGCACAATGGGAATCTTCTCAGGTGAAATTATATGATTATCAGTTTTTGGAATAGAATTCGGTTTGAACATCTCCCATCGGTGCTCAAAATCTTCATCTGTTTTTAGGCTTGAGCTATCACCATCCTTGCCGTTCTGTTCTTGGCTCACGTAAAGGTGATTCAGCATTGAGTGAACTTGTAGCAATGGTGGCCGCTCCGGCATGCAACTCCAACAGAGTTTCATAAGCAGGTACCTAGAATAAGCATAAGCCTCTACATAATGCTAATCCACATTGTACCTTATTGTCTCTTTACATTCCTATAATATATTTTAAACTCTAAATCAGTGACACTAATTATAACCAGTTTTGTGTTCAACTATTACAACAGCCCTATATCAAAAAAAAATGTAACTACAGTTTAAAATAAATATAGGCAGGCTTGACTGACTATAATTTTATCAGATTGTAATCTTTCTATTTCCTAGCTAACATAAATTATATAAAACTACATTCTTCATCCATACAGAATCAACTTCATATCATCATTCACAAAACAATTCTGTGATTGAAACCAAGAAGTTTTGTCTCCATCATAGATTTTTCTGCCAAATTGGGTTTGAGGAATATATAGATGTGTATCTGAGACAGTTCTGCAACTCTCACTTAAAACTGGAAGTAAGCAGAGTTGATAGACAGAACAGTTTGAGAGTTTTATTTCTAAGAGAAAATACATTAATAGGAAAAAGGACTTAACCTTGAGTTTTCAATATGAAGTCAAGTTCTTCTTCCCATTAAGTTTCAAGCTTGGCAATATAAAAATGAAACAGGAAAACAAAAGTGTGCAGTCTGTTACATACAGGTTCTGTCCCTGGGGACATGACAAGGATGGTGGCTTGAGATGCAGGGTGCCCTCCCCCAGCACTTTCACTATGACCTCATCATCACTCAGATCTGAATATGGCAACTTCCCAAATTCGCAGACTTCCCAGAGCACTACGCCCAGGCTCCAAACATTTGCACTGGCTGTCACCTGCAAAAAACACAAGAAAGTTTGAGGCCTTCAATAACATTCCTGACAACTTGTCATTCCCAATCATCCACAATTTTTCATTCCCATCCTTCTCAACTGCTGCAAGGGGTTTATCAGACTGTGCACCCAGTCATGAGAAATCTCACATTTCTTGAAGAGTTATATGTCTACCATCCAATTTGCTTGAACATAAGATCTCTTACTAAATATTATTTCAGTTTAATTTTCTTGTGTTAGAATGTTGTTTCATGTTCATCTTTTGTCTTTGAGAAATCTTGAGTAAAAGCTTTTAAATCCCTATCAGTTCCCATTATGGTCAAGAACAATCTGATTGACCACAGAAGTGAAAATCTCCACCACTAATTAACTGATTGTCCTACAGTGAGCAGCAGTAAAATCTAGCGATAATTCAAGTAGTGATTGCATGGTACCATGGTGATGTATGAGGAAAGCAGAAATACTGCCAGAAAATTTGATTAAATTACAAATTCACGGGCATGAAAATATATTACACAAGAGTATAAAAATGTTGATGGCAAATAAACACCAAGTGGGGAGACCAAGCATATGGCAGATCAATTGGGTGAGGAAAATATATAGAAAACAGTGCAGAAAGAGTGGATACAACTGGAGAACTTCCAACAAATGATGATGATTTCATAACATTTTTATAAAATAATTATGAATGAAGATAAGGTTTATGATAGACACTGTGAAGCAGAGTGACTATACCTCTTTGAAATGAATTCTTCTTCAGATACCAACTGTGTCAGGTGACTGAAAGGCAAAAACATCAACATTCCAAGAACCATCTTCATTCTTGTCCACAGGGTACTGAAATCAACAAGCTTTCCAACCACCTGACATGGCTGGTAGCCCAAGAAAAATTCATTACACTTAGTCACCATGAAAGTTTCAGATACCTCTTTTGTTTCGATAGTGGTTTCTGTGCAGTGCAGTGTCTCTGGTGCACACCACCGGATTGGTAGTGCCACTTCACCAGCACAGTAGTAATCTTCCTGCAAGCAATACAGTTATTTGTTATGTAAACTGGAAGTCCTAAACAAGTTAACTTTGCATGCATACACGTTCTTTTGATTATAATGCTCTGCTACTTAAACTCACTGTTCACCGCTGTGAGAACCTCAAGTCTCACTGTATCCTGTTTTGTTAATGTCATTTATTCCCTTCACATGTTACAGTTCAACAAGTTATGCATGACAGCATATTACTTTTTCTATACAGAATGGTCTTCTGGGTTGTAACACCATGTGGACTTGTAGGTAGAAACCAATGTTCCTCTTAAATGTTGATAGCTACCAGAAGACTACATGGCATCACAGCTCCAAAGACCAAAACTGACATCCCCACTCCCACGAGAATCTTAAATACCACAAGTTGCAACAGACTGAAACAAACCAAAATTAAAATTACCCAACAGCTTTTAGTGTAGGCATCCCCCAAATCACAAACACCATCATAATCCATTCAGTAACTTTAGAAATAAAAAATATAAATTAACTTTATGCAAGAAAAGAAAATACTGTAACACACAAAACATAACATACAGCAGAGAGAACACTCATGTGGTGAAGCAACGAAATGTAGCCATTAATTATAAAATATGATGTACCAATGACAAATTACACCTTTAAAAATTCAGTACAACAATCAAATTTGAACATTGTAGATTCACAGTATTATCGGATTCCAAAATTCATTTGCTTTTGTGAACATAAGAATGAGGTTTTCAATTCATTACTGCAAAATATAAAAGATTACTCACCTTAAATGTTTCAATGCTAGTTCCATAGTCACCAATTTTGACTGATAAATCTGGTGTTACAAGGCAGTTGCGGGCGGCCAGATCTCTGTTGGGACACAAGGAAGAACACTGAGCAAAGACCATAACATAATATACCATATTAAGCCATAAACTGAAACTATGACCCACTGTTATACCACATACATAAATTTATCTACACAACATTAATTCCATGATTTCAAATTAAACATCTCAAAATCACTACCATTCCGCTGTACAGCTATGTCTCATCTGTTATCCTAAAGATAAAACGTATTTCATTTCTTGAAACTTCACAAGCACCAAAGCAGATGAATTCACCTGGAATGGCACATATCCCATAGCTATCTTCGCAAGCCACCAACTTAATTTAAAAAACTGACAAACAGGAAATAAAGAAACTAAAATGGCAACAAGATTAATTTCAGTAAGTTTAAATATTCACAAATCAGCAAAACTTCAACCTAAGCACAGGATACTTATTCCAGTTAGTGTCACATTACATTAGAGCTTACGTATGTACAAATCCATTCCTGTGCATATGCAGCAAGCCTGATGAAATGTTGCAACACATCTGTAAAGTGATTCCCTGCTGGTTCAGAGCCTCCGCTGTGGCAGTATTCTGCGAAAGGAAAGTCTTGAGGTCACCCTGTCAACAAAATCATGGAATCATCCACCTTGTCCGCAATTTCTGTCTTAGTTTCTTCTAGTCTTCATACTGTAAATCTCAATGAGAAAAAGAAAATGGGAGCATTTGGATGATAAAGGTTTGTGAAAATGGAAACTGAAAGCATACTCTGCTGAAGAAAATAAATCTATGAAATTATGCATCTTTCAGCATGCACTTATGATTTTCCAGGTCACTTGCTGGACATCTTCTGTTAACTATCCAACAAATGCTACCAGAAGATATTAAATAAAACATAAAGACTTTTGCACATTAAAGGCAGGAATGATAACTTACACAGGAGTTTCTAGTGTACGGAGCAGGACAGGCTCAAGTATTCCCCACTAAAACTGATCACAATATGGAAATATGAATTATAAGAGCTTCACTTTATTTTATAATGCAGAAGGAAGCAAAATACATGAGTACAGGTAACCCTCGATTTGCGTCGGTTCAATTTGCGCCGATTCTGAATAACGCCGATTTTGAAACCAGCAAGTCAAAAATTGAAAAAAATATTATTTTACTATTATTTATAACGTTTTACAATGTATCTCATAAATCGTAATTCTTACATCGCCGATTTTGAATAAAAATTATAAATACAGTCATCTCTGCAATTACGTAAGTTTCGTTAACGCGAATTTGCTCCAATGAGATCGATGAATCGGTAAAAGCTGTTTGTGAAATGCAAACTTTTGCATATGCGACATCAATCACATGAAAGAAACGCAGTTAATCGCGGGGACCAACGAATTGCCGATTGTTAAGTGTATAAAATATATTTTTTAAATTCCCTTTATTTTATTTACGTTATTTCAGAGCTTTACATGTAATGCCATTATATTACTCGTCAAAGTTTGGATGCTGGGAACGCATGTCATTGACATCCCATTGATTTACAATATAAAAGAGTTTCAATTTACGCCGATTCCGTTTACGCCGGTTCGTCTAGGAACGCATCCCCGGCGTAAATCGAGGGCTACCTGTATATAAAGAAAAGAAACTTACACTGGGGCATGCCTCTAGTAAAACTAGGAATGGATCTGTTTCCAAGCAACGGCCTAGCAGTTTAAGAATGTTTGGATGGTCCAGTTCCCGGTATGGCTTCGCTTCATGCAAGAAATACATCTGGTCAGTTGTTGTTGCATCTTCATGAAGGATCTTCACCACCACTTTACTGGTTTTCTGTTCAGGAACAATGCCTTGGGCTTCCCCTTCGACCACCTGAAAGACACAGACACACAATTCAACGCAGTCCAACGTCATGACATCCACTAGAAAACAGCTGTAACTTTGAAGCACAACTTCCATCACTCGATTTAATGTGGTCCTTGGATTAATGACACTCAACTGTGCAGCAAGCTTAAAAGATCACAATAGTCTTAGCTGTAGATCAAAGTAAATATCAATGGTTACTTACTCTTCCAAACCAGCCATGACCCAACTCACGCAGGTATTTCAGCTGTTGTCTTGGGAAGTTGACATGAGGTTCTTCTGTAAATTCCAACAAAGATTGTTTAAGATCAAAATGTGAATTAAACTGAGAGAAATTCTGAAGATTTCTGTCTTCTGGGTTATCGCGCTGTGTAGTCTGGTCGATGTTAACCAACGTTTCAGAGGTCATCGACCAGACTACACAGCGCAATAACCCAGAAGACAGAAATCTTCATACTCACCGCTGTGAGAACCTCAAGTCTTACGAGAGAAATTCTGCTAAGCCTAGGTGAAAGGCAGGATTATGTTCTCCTTATATCACCTTGGTATACAGCATTTTCCATTCACGAAACTTGGAAATCAATTAACATAAGAATGATCTTTAGAAGACTAAAATATGTAGGGCTCGTAAACATAAAAGATCAGTTGCATCTAACAGCTGTAATAAATCACTAAATACTTAATACAATACAATGGAAATGAATACAAATATTAAAGAAACTAAGAATCAATCAACCAAACTTCAAATGCATCAAAACCATATCAAGTGTTCTTAATACATTCTACTTGCCACTGACCATCATTAGCAATCATTAATGACATGTGAACAGAACTCACGAAACCAGTCCCGTGAGGACAGTCCGTGGGTGACCGCATTGTTGAACGCTGCGGGGCGTCTACTATGAGGCTGCGAGTGGCGGATGTCTGGAAGAGGCTCAAACCGCACGACAGAGGATCTGTCTCCAGGAACTGACAGCTGGTTGGATGAAGAAGTAGCGGCGGAAGCTGTGTGTACTGGAGGGAATATTGTGAACTCAGTGGTGGACGCTGCAGAATTCACATACCCTCCTGCTCCAGACAGGCTGTGACTTGATGTACTGTCTGTGAACTCCTGAAAGCAATGCAACATCACAACATGACGGTCCCCCCACTATCACGTCATGGATAATTTAAATGTCTGTGACAATGGTGAAGTCTAAGTGCTTATTCTGGACTGTTACCATGGATACTGTACACATAGCAACAAATGCATAAACTGAAGACTTTTTTTTATCTCTATAACTTTATATCTCCACGTGAATTCGGATCTACACACTTTCATAATACACATAAAATTACCAGTATTACACACACTTGTAGACTTTAGTGATTCCAACCCACTAAACCTACATCAGGCAATGGACACTGTCCAACATAAACTGAGCCAATATGAATCACAAGTCAGTTTAGTCAGGAATGTTGTATCCTCACTTCATCTTTCAATAAGTGTATAACAGGATGCATAAAAAATTCTCTGTAAAATTATAGTGATCTATAAATTCCTGAGCATAAAGAAACAAGTTTCTATGTGAGACTTCACTGTAACATTCTACATTATCACCAGCTGTTTATACATTGCTGTCATTTTACTAAGTTTGGTACAAACAGATTACTGAGCACACACAAAAATGCAGTCTGAAGCCATGTGTGATTATGGAATTTATAATGTAGACATATGTCAGTGCAGTCTGGGACACAGCCAAGCTCTAATTCTAGAAACAGTCTGTGTAAACTCTTTCCACAATACATACCTTGATTATTTTCCTTTCCTTCAGCTTGTAAAAAGAAAAAAGTACAGACAATATAAACAACACAATTTCAAAGTATATCAGAAATTAAGCATTGCAACACCATGTCTGCTTCACATGGAACTCTGTTATCTGCACTGTATTAGCCAGGTACTGAGTGATTATGGTATACAAACACACTGCCATACATCATATTTCTTGTATCCACCATCTAACTCAGATGAAACCCAAGAAAAAATATATAATGAGAAGATGCGTAGCTCAGTCAGCATAGTGACTGGCTACGGACTGGATGACTGGGGTTCGATCCCTGACGGGGGGGCAGAGGATTTTTCCTCTAGCCTCTGCGTCCAGGCAGGCTCTGGGGCCCACCCAGCCTCCTATCCAATCGGTACCGAGGTCCTTTCCCGGGGGTAAACTGCGGCCGGGGCGTGACGCTGACTACTCACCCCCATCTAGTGCCGAGGTCAAGAATGAGTAGGAGCTGTACTTCCTCTCCCTCCAAGCACCTACATGGCTTGCAGTGGAACAGCTTTTTTACTTTTTACTTTAAATAATATTGTTTGGGTGATTAAATAAAAAAAACTGAAATGGCTGTCATAAAATAAATACTGAATTCTGATCAGATATCGTGTGCAAAATTACCAATGATAAAATAGTTGTCTAGCCAAGGCCAAAAATGATCCATTTTTCCTGAAGTAAAGTATGTGTTACAGATGAAAAGGCAATGCCATCAAGGGGCGTGGGGTCTTGAGAAGAAATAAATATACCTGAACGATGAATTAGGAAATGTGCACTCAGAGTTCACGAATCTATTTCACCTGCTGACCTCTTCAGAATCCAAACCACAACACTGATGCATACACACACATGTAACCCCGCCATCAAGTGAAAAACCACCCACACACATGCAAAAATTATGTAACATATCCATGAATCAATCAATCAGTCCACCTGATGTATGAACTATCATCAAACTACTTTGTGTCTTGTTCACCAAAGCAAGAAATCCAATTTATAAAATAAAGAAATAAGTGCAACTGGAAAACAAATATTAGAGATGGGGCACTGCTCATTCTGACATCCCTGCCTCAACTCCAAATGATAAGTATGATTTGTATCTGTGAGGTATCTGATTCAGATCTCGGTTGCTACTGAAAAATACCTACTTCATTCTTGGCTTCCTTCTGTACTCTCTGACAAGTTCTGGGATAGTATCTTAGCGTGGAATCATAACCATATCTTCGCTTTCTTCATACCAACTGCCATGACATTACCCAAGTTATCTCCCTGCTTAAGTATGACAATCAGACTTCAGACATTCAGTCTACTACGCTTTTACAGCCCACGTTTAATTAAGAAATCCACTTTAAAAAAATCTTTCAGCAAAACTTGTAGATAAATCATTTTACGCTGTGCACACTTGTTGAGACTATGTTATTTTCAGGACAATATTCATCAAATAATAGAAAAAGCTAGAATACATAGATACAACACATCTGCTTGTTCCATATTAATTTTAATATGAAAAGTTGTGATAATAACTCTTTGAAGGATTAATCAATAGCTGCAAAATCTGATACGTCACGTCGACTTGATTACATATCATTCCCGTCTGTGATGCAGTGATAAGAAAAACAAGTGGTTATCAAAAGTAACTCGCTTAATTTGCTCACTGGTTCGATTAAAGAACTGCTTTTACTTCCATTACGAACAGAAGGAAACCCCAGACCAGAGCAATTTTGGTGGCGGTGATGAACAGAAGAGACAGCGGCTTGTCGTGAACACAGTTTGAACCTTCTGATTCCAGCACTAGGCGGGGAAATATTGAATAGCTGAACGACTATAAGCTTCTCAAGGACTTGCTCCATGCAGTTACATGAACAGAAAAATTCCAGATCCACTTGATATCGATAGTTATTTTCCGTTTCGTTGCACTGGATTAAAACATTACTTTTACGCAGGGAAATGAACCCCGATCAAAGGGTGTTAAGGATTCATGTTTGAATATCGGCTGGACTGGAGGCTATCCTGACAGATTTTCAGGGAGAGTACTTCAAACCTACCAAGATGGCCTCCTTTCCAATTTGAATGTACTCACCATTCATGATCAACTTTCAATCTCATCTGAGACAATAAGACAAATACAACCAAATTGTGTATTAAAATAAACTAAAAACAAAGATTAAAATATACAAATGCAGGTCTACATATTCTGTCTTCTGTTCGTATTGGTATAAGATTTCTAAGGAAATACAAAGGGCGTGTGTCAGGACGAGGAAAATATTTTAATGTAATAGAAAACATAGAAACCAACATTTCCGAATGTAACATAACAGAACCGCATTCGATCAAACCCATCAACGCCTAAGAACCTCCAGAAAACCTCTCCAGGACTTCTCCACGATTTCTCAAACTCTTCTACAGGACATCTACATGACTACTGAACTTCTCCGGAATTTCTCCAGCAATTTTCTAGTACAATGTAACTGATTAGCAGTATTTCTGAATTATTAAAAAAACTATAATAACATAAAACATTAATATTACGAAAGGATTGTCCTGGAAAATCGCTCATGTACCAGATATAAATCAGTATAAAAACGTCTTGGCAGCAACAAAACAGACTGAGGAGAAGACCGAACAGGGGTAAACAAGACATGTAACTCCTACTGTTACACTCTGCAAACTAAGACTGTGTACATAAAAATGAATCTGAATGTAAAATGTTACGACACACATCCACAGCACACCGAGAGACGCCGAGTTGTACAGCGTACATCAGAGCGAAGATTGTGACCGACGACAAAGGCTTCGAAAGGAAGTGGTCGTGACCTATGTGGGCTAAGGCCAGGGCTACTAACATCATTCAGCTAAAAATTGTGAGGAAAATAACAACCTTAATCATAGTAGCCGGCCTCCGAGCAGAGACTCGAACTAGGCACCTGTCGAATACTAACCAGGGTTGCTAACCATTCGAGCTTAAAGTGAAGTATGAATTTACTCATATAAATTCTTCCCAATTCACCATTCATAATAATGCTGTCATCCCACGTAACTTAAGATACACCTGAAAAAAGACGATGATCAATTTGGACATCATTGTGGTTCCTTTGGGAATCGTGTTAACAGACGACGTGCGATGCCATTAATACCGTCAAACGTTTGTTTCCATCACTGACAGCGAGACGGCCGTTGGCCTCCGCTCACTTCTTGTCTTTCCGTGCTTCCGCGTATCAAGCATTCCACGGGACAAAAACAGACGACTGTGGGGCTGCGTGAAGTTAAGTTTCTGTTAACTCTGACATTAAAAGAATTTCGCTATCATTCGTCGATCGGAGGTTATGCATCATAAACAGTTGCATAAACGATAACAATATGGTAACGATTCACACAAGCGGCTTAACAATACAGTGAAACTGGTTTAAACGAGCATTTACTAAAACAAAGATTTATATGGTCCTTATAACACTGAGTTAAAACAAAAGTAAAACAATCTCTAACAAACGGAAGAGGCTTTTTCGTTGATATAGAAAGTAAGTGGGAAAACATGGATATTTGAGTTTTATTTTTAAATACTTTTGTTCAAAGTTATAATTCGTAGAATTTATTATGTCATAAATGGGGCCGTATACTAAACGCACGCGACAATACTTTAATGTGCTGATAAAAAAACAAAATTCAATAAGGAAGTTCGCACACGAATGAAAAGTCAGCTGACCCTTTCAAACCGAAGCTATTCCAAATAATATTTCTGAATATGACGGAGGCAGTATGACCTCCGAAACGTTGGTAAACATCGACCAGACTACACAGCGCAACAATCCAGAAGACGGAAATCTTCATACTCACCGCTGTGAGAACCTCAAAGAAAACACTACACTTATCCATTACATACATAAACTGGCTAACACTGTTTGAGCAAATAATGCCTGCGTACACTGACAATTACGCAAAACCCATAAATACAAAATGCAGTGATCCTGACAATTATAGCAGCCGGTATATACAGTTTCAACTGCCCTTTAATGTGTTAAACGAAGACTAAACAGACAAGTAGTGATATTAACATCCCACACAAATATGTTTATATACCTAACACGAAAATCAAAGGTATACAATCCAATCCACAGTGTTTTCAAGATCGAGAAAATAGGGAGGTTGCTTTTCCTGACAGAGTGTATCCCATGACAAAAGTAATTAGTATCCACGAACTAATAAAGAATGTCTGCATGACCTAAAAACACGTTGCGCGTTCCTACTGTGTGTGAGTCGGATCCGTCCTAATTGCACTATTAACACCAACAAGGCCTGCTGACTCATCACAGCCCAGCCAGCTAGGCCAACAGCGATCTATTTCAAGAACACACTCACCTGAAGAAATAGTTAATAGACAAACGCGAACTTAACTCGGGGTGAAGGCGAGAACTGACTGATGGTCAACGGTGTACTTCCCCGAAGTTTTGCCACTACGATAAAAATCATCGAGAAATCTTTTCGACCTTATATTTTCAAAACATTTTAAGAAATATATCGATAATGTAGGTACATAGATATGCAGAGCTTGCACATAGACGTATTATAACGGAAGGACACATGAATCAAAGCTGACGACGTCCGACCGCAACGAAATGTATATTTGTATATTATAATAGTTATAAAATTCGCGCGATCAATGTCGAGGGCTGCAGGTGAAAGTCTGTCGGTACTGATTTTCTTACACACTTGTCTTACGTTCGTGAGTGTACGGTGCAATCGAATTTCGCTTGGAAATCTTGAATTTTTTTTTAGCAACATAATAACGGAAAATGGTGCTCAAAGTACAGTGTTTTTCGGGAACATTGCCAACATTAATTAACTGCGTTTCATCGGAAAATAATGTATGCTTCGTACAGTCAGCCTGAGTGCACGAAGTATTTTCAGTGACGTAGGCAAAATGGAGTCTAGTGAACATTTACAATTACGGTTCGATTTCCGTGTAAGTGTTTCGTCAAGACTTATCTTTAGATTACGGTAAATGAAATTCCATTAGCCATGAGTACCAAGGAAAGACGTTACCTTGTATTAGGGACACATAAGCCAACTGTAGACATCCTTGACTTACATCTGCTGCAAATGTGTACACTTCTTTTATACATGTATTTACTTAAATGATGAAGAATGGGATCGTTGTAATGTCTGCAACAAGTTTAAAATAAAAGTACATCAAACATTTTAATAATTTCTTCTATGTGCCGAGAAATATATTATTCGACTACATAAATGCGCAAACCACCATTTTGCGCAGTGTGACAAGTGCTACTACGAGGTCTACAAGTAACCAATGTAAAATCCATACAACAAATACGTATGGAAGTGTCAGAAAGATTAAATTTTTCTGTAATATGTGTTATTTTCAATAACGATCGGACGGTACCCTAACGTGGACAAGTTATACGACGTCACTACACTACACCTTCTGCGCGGATGCCCCACTAACCTAACCCAACCTAATCCACCCAAATCGGGGTATTCTCATCACTGAAAAATAGCGTCCTGCGCACGAATTTCACAAATAGACAATGGATGGTCGGAAAATATTGCAATTTTGTGCGAATGTCATGCCGCAGTTAACTTCATGAAATTCATACCATATTACGTCACAACACGACGTCAAAGTCGCGAGGTGGAGGAACTGAAATCGTCGACTACCACCACCAAAGTAATTTATCATAACGTAATATAGCACACAGGTGTTTGTTCATAATTCCTAAGTACTGCCTATATGTGCCCAAATATATCCTGACACATTTAAATTTATAACATGTTTGTGGAAGAATTGTTATGGCGAAAAACAGATAGTGAATATGTGTATCCGAAATAGTTGCGGCTTCCTACGTAATGAATCGCGCAAAAATTTCATCATATGCTAATACAGGTGTCACGACTGAATCAATAATTATTTATGTGAATATATTAATACCTTTAACAATTTAATGCGCTATACAATTGGCTCCAGCCGAACTGAAGTGTAAAATAAAATAAAATCCAATAATTTACATATACTTATAAAAGTTTCCAATGTTACCTAAAAATCTCTTGAACTTAAAACGTTTTTCAAAATCCGAACTCAAAAAAAAAATTAAAAAATTTTCAAAACTTTTCGAAATTGTAAGAATTTCCAAAATTAGACGAAAATCACAGTTAAAATTTTTCGAAATTTTTGAAAATGCAAAATTATTAAACATCATATGTGTCGATTCCGGTTACCTCATTCAGTATAGTGATTATGGGGACTGGACTTTTGATGATCAATTCTGGGCAAGGGTAGAGGGCTTTTCATCCAGCCTGTTTCTAGAGGCAATCTGTGGTTCACACAGCCTCCTATCCATTGGGTATTGTCGCTTTTAAATTGAAAAAAAATGCCAAAATTCAAATATTATCTCCAAGCATCAAAAACTTCCGAAATTTTTAAAATTTCGAAACAATTTTGAAAACCAGCAGATTTATTTTAGACTGATGAACATTCATTCCAGCAGTGCAATAAACTCTGGTAACAATATTTTAGTCAGCCTGTAGCACATCCCATTATAGAGGCGTGACTACAACCTGTTTCAGAACGGTGGGCGTATCCGTCCCGACCTTCATACATCACCTTTATAAAGGCTGGAACAAGTTGGCAAAATCCCGCTCGGCTTCGCAAACTTTCAGGTGTTCTAAAAGCCACGCCAACTCTCAGATATGGTGCGGTGTCCCTGATAATGCAATTGTAGCTCAGCCAGTCAATAAATTCCAGGATCTTTTTGAAATCCGAAGGTTCATTACCGACTTCACAAGAATATCAAGAACTATCATGAGTCAGATGAATCCAGTCCTCACACACTATCTCTTAGGATACATTTTAATATTAACCAGGGTAAACTTATTAAATCTTAAAAGTTCGGGAAACGAAAAAAAAATTCGGAAGTCTCACAAATAAAGTTTACTGATTTATAAAAATTAATATAAATTATTATACAATCCACATGAAAACATATGGCTGAAATGAGGGGTAATATGATAAAAGGCCGTAAAGTAGCAATCATATTTCGGTTATAATTTTTGGACATACAGCCCTTTGCCCCAGCAC